ACAACGGCTGGAGGCTGGGCAGGGGCAATGAGGGAGATGCTGCCCAGTAATGAGCAGAAAAGCACTTTGCTGTTCCTCAGGTCTCCAAGATGTCACGGCAGTCAAGAGCTTCAAGATCAGGGATAGGCAGAGGCTCCTCTCCCTAGGACCGTGACACCTGCCTGATTCCCAGGATGCTGAGAGGAGCTGGAGCACGCCAGCCTCGGCCCCAGGCAAACACTTCCCCTGCACAGGGCTCATCACGGGGATCATAGGAGCAGCACGCTCAAGAGCAGCCAGCCTTCTCCAGCTTCAGCTGAAGCAGGGCTCCCAATCAATCTGGAGGTGCTCTGAGCATGAGGATTAACCCCAGGGAGAACACGGGAGCAGCCAAAATGGGCTGGACCACACGCACCCTGGGCACGGCATCCCTGCTCCCTCAGGCTTCCACTCACCTCTGTGACCTGCTGCTTGTCCAGGTGGAAGATCTGCCCCGAGCTGGTGGTAGCGATGCGCTCGTACACGCGGTACCCGGGGTGGCTCCTGTCCCCGCAGTCCCCCGTCAGCACAAACACCACCTGCAGAAGCAACGGTCCCCATAGCACCCCACAGCCGTGGGGTGTCTGTGCATCCAGGGAGCAGCCACCAGCTCCTGTGGAGCCGGCCATGGGGATGCTCAAACCCCACCGTTAACAGGCAGCTCACCTGGGTCTGCTTGTGCTGCAGCAGCTGCAGCAGCTCCTCCTGCTGCTCGTAGTCCTTGGCCCGAGCATCAGAGAAGACGTAGACGAAGGAGCCGGGGTGTGAGACCTCCACAGCCATCCTGATGGCTCCTACGCTCATCTCCGGGCAGTCCCCTCCACCCTGCACACATGAGGGATGTGGCACAGGCACCGAGACACCCAGCGCTCCGCTGCCAGCAGGATCCCACCCAGCTCATGGGGAGGAACTGCACCAGTTCGATGCAATCAGCCCGAGCGCAGCCAAAGCAGCGTGATGGGACCTCAGGGACACGCAGGATCCCATTGACCCGTCCCTGTCTCACTACTAATGATGATTAAAGCACTCGTTTTGGGATCCAGACTCACAGATGCTGCTGGCTTCCCACAGACTCACATAGTGAGCACGTTCATGCCCACCCCTGCCCATCACCCCCCAGGCAAGCACAGAGGCACGGAGAGGACCAGCTCCTGTTTCCACAGGGCTTTGCACTCCAAAGGGCTGGGAAACAATTTGCAGCCACAGCTTTACACCGCGTGCCAAAACACAGCTGCATCTGAAGGGAAACACCACAGATATTTAACAATGCATGGGAGGCAGGGCAGGGATGGATAAAGCATGATTGAATTCCCAGAGAGTGTTTTGAAATCGTTAACAAATATATGAAAAACAACTCAATTCTCAAAGAGCATTTCCAGAACAAGACATTTTTGGTTCCATGGAGAGCCTGTGCAAACTCTCCTGGGGAAAGCATTCCCATTTTGCAGCTGAGCTGTGAACTGGGAGCGCTCTGCCCCATCGCAGGATCCTGGGGCACAGCGCCAGCATCACCATCCTCTCTACTCCCACCCTGGTGTGGTCAGCCCCGAGCCCCTCCACACTCCCAGGGGACACCAAGGACTGGTTCTGAGGCCCGCCACCATGCAGGAATGCAGGGCCAGGCTTCCCATTGAGTGCCAAGGGCCATGCACCAAGCTCAGCACCGTGGGGCTGAGGATGCCTACCTGGACATGGAGCTCCCGCAGGCGCCGCTGGAAGAGCCGGGGGTCGGTGGTGAGGGTGACGGGTCCCACCTCTGCAAGCACATGGACAACACTGCTTCAGCCTTCCCACCTTTGGTGCCACTCTCCCAAGCACCCACCCTGGCTTGAACATCCTGGTGGGACCTGCAGGACTCGGGGTTGAGCATCTACCCTGGTTTGGCTCCCAGCGAGACGTGGATGTGGGAACGCTGCTCCCATGGAAAGCTCTCCTCAATACACCAGTGGAGACAGCCAGGGTGAGCTGCAAACCCTTCCCTGCTGGGGCAGGCTCCCACCAAAGCGATGCTGAAACCCATTTACTGCCTCTGTCTCCTTCCCTGTCCAGCTCCAGCGACTTTCATTCAAACTCAGTGTTTCTGCTGAGGACAAACCCTCTGTCCTGCTCTCTTTGCAGGGAGGCTGAGAGGTATTGGAGAGCAGCTGCTATTTATGGGTGTGCACAAAAATCCCAAGGCAAAGACTGGGACAGACAGGAATGATTCTGGGATTGCAGTAAGTTACCAAAACCTCTGGCAGCAGCACGTTATAGACTTGCACAGAAATTCCCCCCATGATTAGTCTGGGGAGATCAGAACAGGCTGGAAGTAGAAGAGCCACCCACATGTGAGAGCCAGCATCACCTGGATTAATGCAGAGAGGTCCAACTTGCCCTGTGCCTGCAGGGTGGCTTGGGATGGGAGCCCTGCTCAGCACCATACCCTCGAGCTGCAGCTCATCCTGCAGTGCCATCCCCATCAGGGCATTAAAACAGAGAGAAGGGACATGCAGGCACTTGTGAAGCGCGTGTTCCCGCCCCAAACTCCACCAGCACCACACCCCAGCTCCCCACAGCCCCATCCCCAAGCAAGACACGTGCCCTCCCTGTGCCCCAGCCATACCTGGGTCATGGAATGGGACCAACACGTAGTTGCTGATGGGCTTTGTGCTCCTGCCGAGCGTCCGCTCCAGGATGCGCGAAGCCCCGTCCATCACCTGCACCAGGTCGTCGTACATGGAGCCGGTGACATCGAACACGAAGGCTAAGGTGGCCCAGCCTGAGCTGGGGGGGTGCTCGGCGAGACTGGGGGCCAGCAGCAGCCAGAGACCCACAAACACGCCTCCATGGGGCGGCATCGCTGGGGACACCCCTTTGTCCTTGCCCTCTCCTTCTCCCAGACCCCTTAGTCACCGTCCCTGAGCTAGGGAGGGATACAGGGTGCAAGGGGCCACACACAGTGGGACCCCGGGCAGGGGACACCCAGCCACCGACCAGCTCCTCCAGCGTTCAGCTTCTGGGAGGGAAGCAGGGATGGAGGGAGGGAAAACAGGACTTTTGGAGCCAGCGACGCGGCAGGGAGGTGGGTGGGAGCTGGGATGGGGATGTAGGGATTGGGAAGCGGGTCCTGCAGCCCACAGGATCGTCAGAAACACTGCCCATCTCAGAGCCCCCCCCACCCCAGCTCACAGAGCCCCTGCTCTACTGGGGGCAGCCGGGGTTAGGGGAGGACATGGGGGCTCGGAGCTGAGCACCTGCAGGGACACCCTGCCAAACGCAGGCAGCGGGAGAGCCAGCTGGGAAAGGGACTGAGGAATCACCCTGCCTCTGCTAGGCAAAAGGGCCTCCCTGGAATAGGGGTCTGCGATGGGGCTGGTGGGGATTAAGGGGCTCGGGGGGTGCTCCCCAGCACAGCTGCCCCCGGAACAGGGAGCAAACAGCCACGTAAAGCACAGACAAAGCCGGAGCCAGGACAAGGGGTGGGAAAAGCAGCCCTTGGCTGGGAAAGGCAGCGCTTGGACAGAGCACAGGAGCTTTTCCTGGCTCCCCTCAAAGCGGAGTGCTGAGCTCATGGCTGCTGCCGAGGGATGCTCTGCTCTTGCTCAACTCCCTCCCAACGGGACCCAGGGAACGGCCACGGCCAAGGGCTGGCTCCAGGTGAAGCTGTGCACTGAGGACCAAATCCAGCCCAGGGGGCTGAGCACCTCCTCCAGCCCCAGCACCTCACTGGCAGCAGACACAGGGCTGGGGGAGAGCAGGGACCACCCATCCCACACCCCACACACAGCACAATGGGATCCTCCTGTGCATCCTTTTGCCCCACAAGTCCCTACAAGGCAGGGTTTAGCCCAGCACAGTCTTAGGGGGAGGTAAGGACCCCCCTTGCAGCAGGGCAGGGGATGGCACCTCTGCTCCATGGGGCTGAGCCATGAGCTGTGCTGGAGTCTTGTCCTCCTCCTGTCCCCCACCAGGCTTGTATGCAGCCACCCACCTGCAGCCTCTTGTCCCCCCCAGGCTTGGCACCCCCAGCCCCACACTCACTGCAAGCCCAGGGGGGCTCCCCCACCCCACAGTGCCCCCAAACCCACTAACCTCGCACCCAGCTCCATCCTGCGCCCCAGCAGCAAGCACCACTCTCCAGTGCTGCTGGCACAAAGAAACCCAGCAGTTCCTCCCCACTACCAAATTAATCCCTCCCCACACTCACCAGTGCTCCCAGTGCCAGGAGCACCTGAACTACCTGGGCTTTAACCCCTTTTGTGCCGGTGGGCACAGCAAAGCAAGGCACAGCCTTGGGTCGCCGCTGTGATTTGGAGCCTGCGCTCATCCTCACCCGCTCCACGGCACAAGGGGATAAACCCCTGCGTGCCCCCATCATGTGCTGGCACAGGGCACCCCCGAACAAGCCCCCCCCCCCCCCCGTGCAAACACAGCCTCCTTGTTCAGGCCATCAGGGCACCAGCTCTGGCCTGGAATTAATGAGCCAGCCTCGTTAGGAGAGCAGACAAACGAAGAGGGGCGGGCAGAGAGGCCCTGGGCTCTGGACTTGGCAGGGCAGAGCGGCAAACGCGATCCCACTGCACGTGAAAAGCCCAACGGGAGCCCCTGCTCACCCCGACAGCCCCGGGGGATTGCCAAGGGGCACCTCCATTGGGGCACTATTATGGGATATTAATATCCAGCTTCCTCAGCAGCCAGTGCATGCCCAAAGCGACCCGATGGCTCCCAGCCCGGTGCGTTGGCACGGGGTGCCCAGAGAAGCTGTGGCTGCCCCATCCCTGGCAGTGTTCAAGGCCAGGTTGGACACAGGGGCTTGGAGCAAGCTGCTCCAGTGGAAGGTGTCTCTGCCTGTGGCAGGGGTTGGAGCTGGATGAGCTTTAAGGTGCCTTCAACCCAAACCAGGCTGGGCTAAGCCTGACCACGAGCCGCGCATCACAGAGCACGGGTGCTTCGTTACAGTCATTAAGCTTTTATTTCCACTGTCACAAAGTTCCTGGGTTCTGTTTTGTTTTCTTTGTCGTTATTAAACCGTTTCGTTTGCTTGGTTTGCTCTTGAATTCATCTCAAGACAAGGCAGCAGGGCATGCAAGCCGAGACACCGGCACGGACGCACAAACAGGCTTCATCTTTACAAACAAGGCTCTTTTGCTGGAGCTGTTGTTTCTCAGCCCGGGGCTCCAAGCAGGGGTCCCAGAGGACACAGCACCCAACCCGGGGCTGGTGGCTGCAGGAGCAGAGAGAGGAGGGCCAAACGGCTTCCCTGCAGTGCTGCTGGGGCTGGCACATGGAACCGAGACCCAGAACTGCTCTGCAAGGGGACCCCCAAACTGTGCACCAGGACCAGGGCCATCAGCTCCCACCTTTGTCACCACCACCACCCCAGGTGAACCTATCCCCTCTAATGCCACTGTGAAGGTGTATGATACCCTCCCCAAATGCCCCAGGTCTCCCTGTGTAGCCCAGGATGGGGACAATGGGACAGCGAGCTGGCTGTGGCTCACCCATCCATCCCATCCAATCCCCCCAACCCGAAATACATGGGAAGAGGGCAGCCATGCCAATGATTCTGGCTGCCCCCATGCCACATATGGCCCTGCTTCAAAGCCCCAGATCCAAAACCATTCCACCCTCCAGGTTAGCACAGCCCCACCATAGCCAGTGGTATTACTTCCATCCCTCCCCATGCCAGTGGAACAGTGGCTCTGGGATGGCGATTCCACAGCCTCATCCTCCCAAACATCCAACTGGGATGCATGTCCTGGTGGCATGGGAGGCAGGCACCAACAGGCACCCACATCTGTGGGATGCAGCTGGTACCCAGCACAAAGAGGGTCTGGGGACCCCATAAGCAAACTTCCCCCCCCCCCCAATAAACCCCATGGGGAGCACCCCAGGGGCCACCTGGTCTCGTTACAAATCACAGCAATTAAAGGGCTGCTGTGGAGGAAAAACCCGCTTTGCATCTCTCCTGGGTCCTCGTTTGTGCCATGATGGGGACTGGAATCTGCCCCCGGAGCCTTCTGCAGGGAGAGAACAGCTCAGCCCAGCCCCAGAGCTCAAGGGAAGGCGCAGCTCAAAGCAGCAACAGGCAGCGCACGAACAGAAGAGTGAAAAGAAAGGGAAGTGCAGACACTGCAGTTTAATGGGGCAACACCGACGGGACAAATGAGAGGTGGGGGGGGACACTGCAGCTGCCGGGGCTGGACCCTGCGCTGTCCCCTGCCCATCACCAGGGTGCAGCTGCTTTCATCCAGGGATCAGGAAGCTGGCTATGAGCAGAACCGACCCAGGTCTTTCTGGCTGTTGGCTTTAACCATGAGCGGGTGGAAGAAGAGCAGACTTAACTATTCACTGATGGGAGCTCCGATGCAGTGGTTCGTGCACTGCTCCCGGTGTGCCTGATGTTTGGTGGCTCCTGCCAAACCCTCGCGAGCTCATGAGCCATATCCAGTGCTGGTGCCTCCCTGGGCACAGGCATTGAATCGCTTTGCAGAGGGGATGGCTCACCCCTCAGGCCATTTCACCGATGGGGAAACTGAGGCACGAGAAGGTTAAGGCCAACATTGCCAAGCGAGAGATGCTTCAAGCTTTGTTGTCGGTGGTACAGAGAAGCTGCAGGTCCTGGTGATGTTCAGGAGTCAGGGCCACCAATGCTCCCCAAAGGGAGGCCAGAAGCATCCAACCAGAGCCCCAGATCCACAGCCAGGGGGGAATACTGAGGGCAAAGTGATGTGAATGGGGACACCGAGCATGCCAAGAGCAGGGCAGGACAGACCCACTGCAGGGCCAGAGCCAAGACCCAGGGCAAGAGCCAGCCCCAATCCTGCCCAGCAACACTCATCACTGCCACCAACCCAACAGGGTCCTCGCAGCCAGCACAGAGCTTTGAATACAGCCAAAAACTTCTTCCCTTTTTGCTCTTTTTTCTTGGATAATGTGCAAATATTTAACTAGGGGCAGGGGAGGCCGAGGCCTTGGGCTCCATCCCTGAGCCCAGCAGCAGCAGCAGCAGCAGGAGGTTGCTGGTAGGAATGTCAGCACCATCCTGATGGGCACTGAATGTCAGTATTTCGGGGGTCTGAAGCTCTCCCAGGCTGATGTTGGTCCTTCATCCCCCCTGTGATGGGGCTGCTTCCTGGTCAGACGTTGTCGAGCACTGATGGAGCTCAAAGCACAGCAGGTCCTCTGAAAATTAAAAGCCTTTCAGAGCAAAGCATCAGAGCAAATAAGGTTTGCCTTTGCCTGGGAATTGTGTCAAACACCACAGGGTCCATCATTTATCAGCAGAGGAGATTGCAGCAGTGTCACGTTCAATGGGAACATTGATTGGCACCAGAAAGGGACCGGTCTGGCAGACAAGCGTTAGAGAAGTTGGAGGCACTGCAAAGATCTACCCAAGAGAGTTGCGTTTTGGCCACAAAGCATCAAGGATAAGGGGTTTCCATGGGAGGGAGCGAGGTGACACCCTCCAGGAGGGAAACATGGGCACCCTCAGGGGCAGGAGCTGCAGAAGAGGCAGAAATATTGCACATGGACGTGAGGTCGCTCTCCTTGGGGAATGGGGAAGGGTGTTTTTTATGGGCATCAGAAAACGCCACCAACACATGGGCCCCGAAACTGGGGATTAGGGCTGCATGGCAAAGGACCAGCATCACTTGGCTGGAGTATTTCCTTATCCCCTACATCATCGGAGAACATCCTCCACATCCAGATGTCACTTCCCACCACTACGGGGACAAATCCCAGCCATGGGGGCTGCAGACAGCGGGTGGAAAGATACTGCCAGCATCAACCAGAGCAGGGACAGAGGGGTGAGCCCCTAGGGTGGTAGGAGCATGGCATTGGGATCACAGGGCCAGGAGCAAACCACACCAGAGCCATCGCAGGTGGCTTTAGGGGTCCCACAGGCATCTTGCACTTTGCTCCTGATGAGATGCAAATCTCTCCTTCCCCATTGCAGGGACCAAGGCAGATGGAAACAGAGCTGCGGCAGCATCTTGTCCTCCAGTGGAGATGCCAACTGTGTCCTGGAGCTGAGCCCTGCTGGAGCACATCCAGAGTGCTGGCAGGTGATGGAGAAGCCACACATTATCCCTTGTGGATGGGGCACCATTTCCAAGCCCCACACTTGGGTGTCTCCAGTCACTTTTCCCTAGCTTTTTCCCACCATGGATGCAAACGGCTCTGCTTTGGAGCTGTGCCCTTGGATTACAGCAAAACTTCCCATGTCCTAAACAGGGAGCAAGGGGATAAGGAGACACCTCAAGCATCTCTTGGCCGGGCAGCCATAGGGCAGGAGTTACTGCATCACCCCGGCTGGGATGGGGAAGATGGAGCAAGCCATTCCCATGGGCATCCCCTCAGCCCTGCCACATATGGGACAATTCACAGGCACCCCCTTGGGGTGCCAACAGACCTTCCCACCATCAGCACAACAGAAAAGAGGAAAGGAATCCCCCTGAAAGCAAAACCCAGCTCTCGGTTCCATTAATACTTCATCATGCAGAGAGAAAATGGGGAAAGGGAAAGGAAATGAGGAAGTTCTGGTGCCCGGCAGTTCCCTCGCCCTGCCCAGCTGAGGGATGGAGCTGGCTCTGTCTGCTCAGAGCCTGGGCTGAGATTGCCAAGGGAAGGGTGAACAGAAAAACACAGGGAAAAGGGGGAACAGGAAGAGGAAACGAAGCTACAGCACCCCCTTAAAACAGCAGCCAGCCCACGGAGCTCGGGATACAGGGGGTGGGAAGAGAAAGGGGGAAGGCAGATTTTTTTTGGCTTCATTGTTATTGCAGGCTCCCGGTGCCCCGCAATAGTGTACGAGCATGTAAACCTGTATCATCATCACCTGGGTGGTCGGACACACACGCGAGAGACTAAACACGGCAGCAACATTTACAACAAATAAATAAGGATATCCATTGCGGAGATAGGCATGTAAAAAAAAAAACAACCAAACCTCACTTTTTTTCCACCAAAGGAAAGAGAAAAAAAAAAAAAAAAAAAAAAGAAGAGAAAAAAGCACAATACTGTCTCACAAAAAAAAATTAATATAATAATATATATCCCTAGAGAGCCGGGCCGGGCTGGCGACACCAGCGCTGCGTGTTCCCAATGGCCGTCAGTGCCTCGGCTCCCCTGCCCTGCGCAGGCAGCACCCCGGGGTGCGGGTCCCCCGGTACCTTTGGGCTCCGTCTCCAGCCAGCTGATTCCCGGGAGAGGACAACACCGGCGCATCCACAGTCCCATCCGAAAACATAGGAAAAGGGGAGCAAAGGGGGCGAGGAGGAGGCCGGGGTAGGGGGGGGGTTGCTCTGCCTGCAGCGATGCTCGACCCGCTGCCCCCCTGCGCTGCAGTCTCGGGTGCTCGCTGCCGCTCAGCCCGGGCTCCGAGGTGGGTTTTGTACTGGGAAAAGCAGAAGTTGGCGAATGGCAGCGGCTGGTTCGGAGTGCGGAGAAGGGGAGAGAGCTCGCGCTTCGAGGGCATCCTCTGCTCGAGGAACAGAGAGGAAGGCCGAGAGGGGCAGGCAAGCTTGGCGCGGCGGTGGTCGGATGGCACGGAGAGCATCTTCCCCCAGGCATCTGCGGGAGAGGGTGGGGAGGAGAAAAACAGGGTGAGAATAAGGGCAGAAAGCACCGCGGGCACCAGCGCAGCTGGAAGGGCAAGGCTGGAAGCACAGTAATGGTTTTGAATGGCTCAGAACTCCAGTGGGGTTAAAAAACCCCCGTCGCCACCCATGGTTGGACACTGCCTGGGCTGTGATGACCAAAACCACCCCATCTGCGTGGCCCCATGCAGGATGGTGAGGATCACAGTGTGCTCAGCGAAGCACCGCATCCCTGACACAGCCATGCCAAACCCTGCCAGCTCCAGGGTGCAATATAATGAGATACAATAAAAATAAAACATTTAATATAATCTCTCTCCGGAGCATCCCCATGCCCTCAGCGCACCAGCTGCCTCCTCTGCAGCCACATCTACAGGGAAGAACCGAGCTGTGCCGCAGGCAAATAATGCCTGCCAGCTGGGTGACTCTACCGCATCCTCATTTGCTGTGGTCCAGGAGTGCTCTATGGGACGGGAGGACTGGGAGAAACACATCAATATGGGGTAGGAACATCTCCATCCAGCTAGATTTGGGGGGGATAAGGAGAACCAGCCACCCACCCCTGGGAAAGATGGGAATGGCATCAAAGCAGGTGGGAGATGGGGCACCCCCGGGTTCCCCAGCACTGCACTCACCGCCGCTTGGCCCCGGGACTATACGAGCCCATCGTAGAGGGAAAGCGCCTGCACGATGGAGGGGTCAGCCTTGGAGCCCTCCTGAAACTCCTGCAGGGTCAGCTTCCCGTCCGCGTTCTGCAAAACACCCCTGCTCAGCATCACCTTGCCCTGGTGAGGGGGATGCTGGGACCGAGCATCCCGGGGCTGAGCACCCCAGGGCCCTGGCACCACATCAAGGACCCACACAGGTCCCCCCCCACCACTGCAGCCCCAGTTTCCCTGTCAAGCCATCAGTGCCTGCAGCCAGGGAGGAGCAATGCCACACTGGGGACCTGGATATCCCAGATACAGGGATCCTGTATCCAGTCTGCAGCGACAGCTGAGACCTTGTACTGCCAAAGGAAGGAGGCACGTGCAAGAGCTGAGATTGGGCACAACTGATCCCTAAATCCCTTGACTGCAGGGGAAAAAACACTCAAGCATCCTCACCTTGTCCATCATGGCAAAAATCCGATCCACCCTCTTCTCCGGTGTGTTCTCCTCCTCAGGAAGCTCCACTGTGTTTCCCTGTGGCAGCAAGATGGGACCTGGTCACGCACCCATCTGTTCCCAGCCTGGATGGTGTCTCCAAGCAAGCAGATGTGTTTTCTTCCCCCAAATCCCCCACGTCAGGACAGCGCACAAGGAGTCGTCTCTGGCACCAGAGCCATCCTCAGTGGCTGGATCCAAGCCCTGCTCTGGCCACCGTGGCCATAAACTCCCACCAAAAAATCCCAGGGAAGGAACCAGGGATGTTCCAGCATCCTCCCTACAGCCCCCATCACCCTCTGCCACTTACCACCATCTGATAAATGGCATCCACAATGTCCAGCATCTCGTTCCTTGTGATGTACCCGTCATTGTCCAAGTCGTACAGCTTAAACGCCCCTGCGAGGCAGAGCGATACCGAGGTGCTGGGGACTGCATCCTCCCCCCCCATAGCTGTCCCCATGCCACCCCCCTCATGGGGCTGAGCCCACCGGTGTCCATGGGGAGCACTTACACCTCAGCTTCTCGTCCAGCGTCCCCCGGGAGGTGACCGACAGCGCCTGGATGAACTCGGAAAACTCGATCCTCCCGTCCTGGGGGAGGGAAGGATGGGTGAGGGCATCGCTGCCACCCCTGCCCGGCAAAGCCCTCCCTGCTCATGCCTGTGGGGCACATCCCAAAAGGCCGTGGGGAGGGAGGAACGATGGAATATTGTCCTCTCCCGGTACCGCGCAGCCGCACTCCAAACCCATCCCAGCATCACTCCCCTGACCCCCCTCACACCGTGCCCCCCACCTCTCCCAGCCTTACTTTGTTCTCATCAAAGACATTGAAAACGAAGGTGGCGAATTTGGTTGGGTCGCCGAAGGGGAAGAACTGCTTGTAGATCTTCTGGAAGCCCGCGGCATCCAGCTGCCCGCTGGGGCAGTCCTTGATGAAGCCCTTGTACCTGCGGAGGAAAGGCAGCGGATGGGCACCACGAGGTCTTTTAAACCTCCTGCAAGACAAAAAGGCCCTGCACAGAGTCACCTGCTCCAGCACTGAAGCATCACAGGGTCAGCAGCAGTGCTTACATCCCTCTCTCAGAACTCTGGATACACACAGCTCCTGAGCAAGAAGCTGTAAATGGAACGCTGCGCCCTAGGGCCAGAGCTTGCCTTCCCCTCTGCTGCTGCTCCACGGCTACACCAAGTCATCCACCTGGCTTTCCAGCACGGAGATGGCCAGGAAAGGGACTTGGGATCAGCAGCAACCCCACAGGCAGTTTGCAGCCTCCCCACTCAGCACAAGCTGCAGCCGTGTACCAACAGCACAGTGGCCTGAAGCCCCAGGACTATGACAGCGTTATTTGGAGGACCCCACGTGAAAGCCGCTCCGAGGAGCTGTGGGCACAGCAGGATGACCGTGTCCTCAGGGTGGTCCAGCCCAGGGCATCTCCCAAACACTATCACCACTTAAACACCCCCAAAGCCCTGGATCCCTGCTCCGGTCTGGGTCTGGATGCTGCAAAGTGCCATATGGGAGGGTGCAGGGGAAGAGGTTTGCCAGCTCCATGGATGAGGAGACCAAGCAGGGACCATCAGGGACATGCAGGGACCACCAGGGACCACGGAGGGACCACGGAGGGTGTGTGAACATTATGCAACGTGTCTCTTAGATCTGTCAGGCGCCCATTGCAGCAGGCCTAGGGCTGGAGGAGGAGGGGAAGGGGGTGGCGAGGTGGGAAACCGAAGCGCCAGTGACATCTTTTTCACGCTGCTGCAGCTATGACTCACCGAGGAGGGGGGGAAGGATGAGAGAAGGAGATAAAGAAAGCAACCCTTGACTGGTGGGGAGATGAAAGGGAAGCGATGGCTTTTCTAGGGCATCGCACACGGTGGGGTGGAGGGGATGGGTTGGTGAGAGCCTGCCACCAGCCCCAGCCCTGCTGCAGACGGTGACACGGTGGGACAGCAGCAGCATCCCCCAGACAGGGCCACGGCCACCAGCTGAGCTGTCCCCATGTCCCTGCTTGCCTTGGCCACCCCTATGGGGAGGAAGAGGCAAGAGGGAGCGTGCGACGTCCCATATGGGCAGCCGAGAGCAGCCAGAGCCAAGCCACACCATAAGGTGTGCAAGGAAAACCCCTCTGTTTCTGCTGACTCTCTGAGCTGAGCACTGCCTGCTCCCATCCCTTCGCCCCAGCACTCACCACCATGCCAGACACTCACCACTGCTGCACCTCCTTCTCCGTAACTGCAAGAGAAAACAGGAGAAAAGAGAAAAAAAGAAAGGAATTTAGTGCTTGCCCAGTGACAGCTGCGCTTCTGCACCCCCCAGAAGTGGATTCCCTGGGAGGGATGCGCCAGGACTCACTCATTCCATGCGCTGCCGTGTGTTCCCTGCATGTAAGCGCTGCCATCAAGGCACAGCCTGGCTTAACCCCGGGGGGATGATGGGGTCCCTCCAGCCCCCACATCACAGCACAAAGATGTGCTGCTCCCTGCCCCAGGAGTGCAGCACCATCATTGCGAGGTGCTGTGGATCACGCAGGGGCCAGACCAAAACATGTCTGGAAACATCTGCCCAAGCACCAGCCAGCCCCAACATCAAGACACTGAGCATGGCACAGGCACAGACCCAGAGCCAGCATCCCCCCAAGCACCACCTGCATGTAAACCACGCGGAGAAACATCACCAAACCCATCCCAGGGCCCTAAGGAAGCTCTTCTGGGCTCTGAAGAAACCCCCAAAATGTGAAAAGCTAGAACATGGTGAGCGCTGGCAACCCCGAGTGTCCCCAGCCTGGCACAGATGCTGAGATCACCAACGTCCTCAGCAGAGGAAGGGCTCTGAAGGGATGCAGGATGCTGGGGATCCCAATGGGGCAGGGCACTGGTACCTGTCCCCATGTGTCCCACTGCAAGAGCAGTGCTCGGCCAGCACAGAGCCCAGTGCCAGCAGGCAGGGGCAGGGGGAACAGCCCCATTAGTCATTTCCTTTGCATCTTGCATCTAAATAATAACACAAAAGCAATAGGTCTGGACCGCGCTGGGATAATGAGGCAGAGCGGAGATGTCTCAGTGTGCAAACGGCTGATAAAAATAGAGACCCAAGACACATCAACAGATGCCAATTACCTTGCATGGCAAAGAGAAGAAAGCAATTCTCCCTCATAAAGATTTATAACGTGCCTGGCAAAAGGTGCACACTGCAGAAGGCAAGGGCTGCAGGACACACGCTGGCCCCCACCTCGCATACACACCAGTGCTGGGCCCCACATCCCCATGGGCAGGAATTGCTGTCCCTCTATATACAAGGGGTCCCTCCATCTCAGCTCAGGCTCAATTGGAGGGACAGAGCCTGCAAACCCCCTCAAGAAGGGGAAGCATCTCCCCCCCTTCCCCAGGGAGCTGGCAAAGGGCTGCAGGGCTGTGCTGGGAGGGTAGCAGCACCCACCACACTGCCACGGGGTGTCTGGACCACAGCACCTCCAGAGAAGGGAGGCAGGCGCAGGGATGCTCAGAACCTGGGCTGAAGGACACTGAGGGCTTTGGCCGTGCTGCAGAAGGGATTTGGAGGGTTGTCTTGGCAGGGCTGCCTGGCAGGGGAAGAGCAGACAAGGGAAAAAGACAGAGGTCTCTTGGCAGGAGGAAGCTGGGAAGGATGTGCTGCATCCAGCAGCTGAGCTGGGGCAGGCAAAACCAGCAATCGTGCCAGTCCTGAAGGATTCCCCTTCCCGACAGAAAGGGCTGTGCAGAAACATCCTTCCAAAGGAAAGATGCTGAGCGATGTCTCTAACAGGAACAGGCTTCCCCACAAGCATCGGGACACCAGCCAAGCCCTCCACCCAAGGATGCTCGGGGGATGCCCCAGGCACCAGCTCTGCAGCCCCAGTCGCCTGCAGACACTGACTAAGGTGGATGGGAGGAGGAGGAGGGTGAGCAGCAGGGCTCCAAGCAGCCCTCGGGGCAGGAGAAAGGGGCAGCCCAGGGCTATGGACAGCTCAGCCCCTCCAGGCAAATCACCTTGTGCTCTCCCTCATTCGCTGTGTTTCCCACTGGGCTATTTCAGGCCCTGGAGCTGCCTTTCAACTCCAGCAGGAAACAATTAAGGAATTTGTGCTTTTTTTGGTACAGGAGAAATGCTGCTGCTGACACACTTGGAATGGGGTGGGAGGGGAGGGATGGGGCAGGCTCCCCTTTTCCTGAAGAGGGATGTGTGGTGACACCTGCACGTTCAGGTGTCAGCACAGGGCTCCCGAGGCTGGATTTGTTCCTGCGCATCCCTCTTCCAGTGCACTGGCATCTCCTGCACTGGGAAGCTGAGTGGGTTGCCCTGGGATGGGAATGCAGCCTCATCTCCCTTGGAAAACCACCACCTCTGGATGCATCCCTTTGCTGCCACCAAGTTTTCCCTCTTCCCAGGGCAGAGTGTTCCCTCTGCAAGGAAACACCACGGCAAAGCTGGGGCTGAGCAGGTACCTGCATCTCTGTTATGGATCCGAGGCAGAGGACGACCGTGCTGCCACTTCCAGCCGCTCTGATCCTGCTGGGTGTCAACACTCCCAGTGGCACCGGTTAGGGATGCTCACATCCATCCCTGCAGCAGGGACCCGTGGCCATGGAAGCCCTGGGGACACCAATCTCCTGGCCAGGCCAAACCGCCCATGCTGGGGCTGGGGACAGGGGACACATGCAGGGGCAGGGCTGTCCCTCCACCCTCCCCAATCCATCCTCTGCAGCTCCCTGTCACACAGAGCCCAACCATGCCCATAGAAGGTACCTGTGCAGTGGCGGCTGCTGCATTTCCCTCCCCTGGCATTGATTACAGCGCGATGCCGAGCCCATGCAAATCAATTTGCGGCGATAGAAACCTCCACCAGGTTTGACTCCTCAAGGACACGGGGATGACCCACAGCATCCCCACTGCAGCATCCCACCGGAGCAGGGCCAGCTCCGTCACCGTGCTCCGGCTGAACCGTGCTCCACAGGGATCAGCATTCCCGCAGCCGCTATGGGAATGCCTATAAATAGTTCACGTAGCAGCTTGTTAGAGGATGCAGCGTGCCCCGGGATCCTTAGGGATGAAAGGCACTGAATAAAGGCAGGGTATCAGCGTTCATTCTGAGCCACAACGCTGTAAGGGGCATCACCGAGCCGGGAGCCCCGGGTACGCGGCGCAGACCCCCTCCTGCACGCCCAGCCCCGCACACAGCTCGTGCCAGCAGCACCTTTGTTTCTGCTGCCCTTAGCCCAGCGCAGGGAAGGGCTGAGTGCAGGGCTCGCACCGCCGGCACGGACAGGGACCCCAGGGCAGCACAGGAGCTGCCCCTTGGCCATCCATCCCCGCTCCCACCTCATCCGGGAGCAGGGATTCAGTCACGCATCTCACACAGCACAGAGGGGCAGAGGCCCCGGATGCGGCTGCACTACAAACAGCCTCCAGCCCCCTCCTCACAGCTACCGGCACCCAAACCCCCCCCCCCCCCAGGTCTCTACCCCCACCCTTCCATCAACCCTGAACGGCACAGCGAGGACTGACAGCTCCATCACCACCCGCCCTCTGCGTGCTCCCCTCTCTTCCCACCACCCAGCTGCCACTGCAGCAAGCAGCTCTGGTTAATCAGTGCTCAAAGCCTGTTAATTCGTGTTCGCCAGGCAGCAGGAGAGGAGGGACCCGGGACTGGAATCCCCGTCCATCGCCCTGCCCGCAGGAGAGCTGGGTGCTCGCTGGACCACAGCAGTGAGGAGTACAGGAGAAGTGAATGGATTCAGAATGGTTTGAGACCCCTGGCCGTGGTGGGATGCAGGAGGTGATATGATGCTCCAGCCCTTTGGGTTCGCACAGGCTCAGCAAGCATTGTCCCAGTGTAGCAGCCAGCACCAGCCTGCACCAAGCCCCTGCATGTCCCCCTGTGCTCCAGCCACTACAACAGCACCTTGATCCCATGGTGCCACCGCTGCCTTATCAGGGGAACCACAGTTAATAATTTCCAGCACAAAGCAGCTCTGCCTCCCCTGCAGGGCACTGCAGCTCTGCCAGGCCTGGCCTCCACCACCAACCCACTGGCAACAGGTCCAGCATCACCCACCAAGGCACGGCACTGCTGGTCCTGCAGCATTTATAGGGGTCCTCGCAGGTCCCTGCGCATCCTGCTCTAGGGGAGCCAGCATTGCCCCATCCTGGGGCTCCCATCCAGGTCTGGGGCTGCCTAAACCTGCTGCAGCTGCTCAGATGAAGGCAAATTGGCACCTCTGCATGTGCAGAGTGGGTGCTCCCACGTGAGCAAAGTGGGTGCTCAGGCATGAATTAATGGGGCACTTACGCATGCACTAACTGAGCACCCATGCCTGAGCCAGATGGGCACTCATGCAGAAATAAATCGGGTGATCATGCACGGACTAATTGAGCATAAATACCTGGATGCATCTAGGTGAACTAATTGGGTGCTCATGCATGAACTACCTGGGTGCTCAGGTGTGAATGAAAGGGGTGCTCATGCATCCATTTTATGGGCACTCTTGACTCCAGTGGCAACAGACTAATAGAGCTCTCAGGTGTGAATTCACTCCGCACTCCTGCTTGAACTAATTGGGCACTCGTGGGTGAATTAGTGTAATTAGTAGGTGACACACTTGTGCATGTGCTAATGAGGCACTCAGGTGCGAATGGATCAGGTGCTCATGCAGAAATTAATTGGACACTGGGGCATGAACTGATGGAGAGCACACGCATCAACTGGGCACCCATGCAGCATGTAACAGGGAGCTCATGCATGGACCAGTGTGTAATCCAGCGTGAGCTAACTGGGCGCTCATGCATAAACCACCCCGTGCTCTATGTTAAGTTAATTATGCACTCATGTGTGTACTGATCGGGTGCTCATGCATGAACTTACTGGGTGCTGATGTGGAAATGACCGGGGGCTCATGCATGAGCTGATGGGCCCCTCATGCATGAAACGCCACGGTGCTCAGGGGTGATCCCACACACCCTGCAATTTGCACCCAACACATTTCACCCCTCGCCTCTGTGAACACCTATTTAAGGACTGGCTGAACACAAACCTGCTACAAACCCCACTTACAACATCACATTGACCAATTATGAGCTCCCCACTCCGTCCCCACCAAGCAGGTGACAGTAGATGCGCTCCTTTGGATTTCACTCCTTGTCCTGGGACCCAGATTTGGGGCTCAGCACCACAGCCCAACCAGCAGAATCAGCCCCCGGTCCCCGCAGAGCAGCAATCA